CTCACCTCAGCCTCCCAAAGGCGCGGGATTACAGGCTGAGCCACCAAGCCCGGTTTTTTGGTTTTTTTTTTTCCGAGTCAGAGTCTCTGTCACCCAGGCTGAAGTGCAATGGCAGGCTCATGGCCACTGCAGCCTCTGTCTATTGGGCTCAGGTGATCTTTCCGCCTCAGCCTTCCAAGTAGCTCGAACTACAGGCACGCGCCACCTCACCTGGCTAATTTTTTCATTTTATTGTAAAAACAAGGTCTCACCAAGCTGCCTAAGCTGGTCTTGAACCTTTGAGCTCAGGCAATACTCTCACCTCTGCCTCCCAATAATGCTGGGATTATAGGCGTGAACCACCACACTCAGCTATGCAGCACCATTTCTAACCTGCACTCTGCTTCAAAGTCTTTTTTGATTTATTGTACTTTTTTGATTTATTGTAGAGACGAGGTCTTGCCATGTTGCCCAGGCTGGTCTCGAACTTGTGGACTCAGGCAATCCTCTCGCCCCTGCCTCCCAAAGTGCTGGGATTACAGGTGTGTTTGTCCTTTTTTTAAAATCTTACCTTAGTGACTGACCCCAAAGAAGAAATCTGAGCTACACTCCTGGTTCTTCTCTTTCTTCCACCTCCATGCAATCACCAAGTTCCATCAATTTTACCTCCTGAATATCTTCCAAATCTATTTAAGTAGTCTCTACATCACTGCTGCCAGTACCCTAGTTTAGGCCAGCACTTTTTCTTTTTTCTTTTTCAGAAAGCAAGATTTATTGAGAGGATAGAAAAGCTTCCATAGTGGGAGGGGACCCGAGGGGGTTACCCTAGACCAGCACCTTTTCTTTTCTTTTGAGTCAGGGTCTCATTCTGTTACCCAGGCTGGAGTGCAGAGGTATGATCACAGCTCACCACAACTTCAATCTCCTGGTCTCAGGCAATCCTTCCACCTCAGCCTCCCGAGTAGCTGGGATTACAGGTGTGTGCTACCACATCCAGCTAATTTATTTTAATTTTTTTGTAGATATGAGGTCTCACTATGTTGCCCAGGCTGGTCTCGAACTCCTGGGTTCAAGTGATCCTCCCAACTCAGCCTCCCAAAGTGCTGGAATACAGGTGTGAGCCACTGTGCCCAGCCTGTAGCACCTTTTTGTTGTTGTTGTTGAGTAGAAGTCTCACTCTGTCACCCAGGCTGGAGTGCAGTGGCACACTCACGGCCACTGCAGCCT